CTATAAAAAAACTTCAATATCCAAAAAAAAAAAAAAGTTACATTTTGACTAATTTAAACTTTTGACAAAAAAAATTGCTAACTAAAATTTGACTTAAAAAATGGGCAAAAATTATATATAACCTATATTTACATTGTGTAATCATTAAATTTTTTTTAAATATGATTACTAATATTATTAAATATTAATCATTAAATTAATTAATATATAATAATAATGTAATTAATTACATGCCATTAATAATCACTATTACTATTTTTACTGGAAAAAAAATATCTATACTCCTTTAAATATATAACATGTTACATATAACATCTGACTTTGTAATAATTGCACTGTAATGTTTTCCTCAGACTCTACTGAGCTGCCGAAGCGCCTGAGTCTGGACAGTTCATCGTCTCTGGAGTCTCTGGCTTCAGCACAGTCTGTGTCCCACCAGCTGCCTATGGGCTATCCCAACCCTCCCTTCTCCCCTCCATGTCCCGACAGCCTTGCCTCTGACGCCATCTCCGTCTACAGCCTGAGCTCCATCGCCTCTTCCATGAGCTTCCTATCCCGTCCCGAAGGCACGTCCGACTTCATCAGCCAGCGCTCGCGGCAGCAGGAGCTAGAGCGGCATCGGGGTGGAGCCGGGCTGTTCGCGTCACACCGGCACACGGCGGTGCCCCGCAGCCGCTCGTCCCCACATGGAGCTGTAGGAGGGCACGATGATGAAGAGTATGAAGGATACAGTATAATCAGCAGCGAGCCATTGGGTAGCCAATGCGACACACTCCCTCGTCCTGCAAATCACAGGAACCATCGGGGCGCTGCACGCGGCGGGACCGGCAGGGGTTACGCGGTGTCTGTGTCCTCTAGGGGAAGCGTCAGCACCCCGACGTCTCCGGTCAAAGCCACCCTGGTTCCCAGTCCCAACTCGCCCTTCCAGAAGGTCGGGAAGGTGAGCAGCTCAGACACGGGCGAATCCGATCAATCCAGCACAGAGACAGACAGCACTGTGAAGTCCCAAGAGGAGCGTACGCCCGGAGCCGCTCTGGACCCACAAGAACTGGCGCAGAAGATCCTGGAAGAAACGCAAAGCCACATGCGGGCTGTCGAGACTTTGCAGAGAAGCACTGGGAGCGTCCCGCTGGGCGACGAGATGGGCGGCGGAGGCCCCCCAACCCCAACCGGAGGTTCTGCTTTCCGTTCCTCAGAGACGAGCGCGTTCAGTCGCCCTAGTAGCCGGGCGAGCATCAAGGCACAGTCGTCTCCGCTCCCGACGCGCCCCAAACCGCCCTCCCGTACGTCGTCCCTACAGAAGGTCAGCTCGGGATACAACAGCCCCGCTACGTCTGAGACGTCCCTAAAGGAAGGCAGCCAACCGTCGCCAACTTCCGACAGTCACGCCCAGTTTAAACTCAAGTATCCCAGCTCGCCCTACAGCGGCCACATCTCCCACTCGCCCAGCAACGTCTCGCCCAGCTCGGGCCACCAGTCTCCGGCCGGGAGCGCACCCTCTCCGGCATTGTCCTACTCCTCAACGGGCTCGACGCGCTCCAGTCCGGCGGACGCTCCGGATATCGACCGACTCAAATTGGCCGCTATAGACGAAAGAGTCCAAGCGATCCACAATCTCAAGACTTTCTGGGCCAGCGCCACCCAACAGCAGCACTCGGGACCAATGCGGGCACTCCGCGGCAGGAAACTGAGCACCGCCAAACGAGATGTCCTGGGCCTTCTGAACCTCTCGCCCCGACACGGCGTGACGGGACAGGATACGCCCGGCCAGGATGTGGCGCTCGAGCACAGAAATCCTCCCAACGGCCACCGCAAGATCGATCCCAAGAGAGTCACGCCTTCTCCGACGGCGTCCATTGGCAGCAGTCCAGGGTCGCATCCCATCCGACTGCCTTCGGGGAATGGATACAAGTTCCTGTCACCGGGACGGTTCTTCCCTTCGTCTAAATGTTGAGATTATGTCCCTCAGTGACTGGCTTCTCTTGATAAAGGAGTATTTTGAGTATTTATGACTCTTGAAAACAGTGAAAAGGACAGTCTGGGTGAGGAAGTGCACATTCCCAGAAGCCTCAAACTGCCTACTGTTTTATTTTCCCGTGCAGAGAGCATATAATCCTTATGCTTCCACCTACACTGTAAAGGACCGTTTATATATGCAGACTGATCTTAGACTTGCGCAAGGCATGTCAGACAAAAAAAAAAAAAAGAAGAGATTATACCAAAATGGTATTTCAACAAATAGACAAAAAGGCTCGCTGTTTGTGTTAGTGAAGATGATGCGGCTTTGACTGGTTTTCTTTTGTTTTTTCCATTTTTCTTTTTTTTTTTTTTTAAATCTAACTTTTGGTGGGGAGAATAACAGTATTCAAATGTGATCCCTGAAGACAAAATTAAATCAACGTTTTGCAATCAGTATTATACGTTTTTATATTGTTAAAGAAGCAAACCATGCACAAAAAAAGTTGAAAAAACATTTTCATATTTTTATTGAGATGGTGGCGACGCACCTGACCTGACTTCTATGTGAATTGAGTGTCAGTATTACAGCATGGGTTCTCTTGCTCTCCAGTGATTCAGTGTCTTTTTAACAGAGATTTTGCATATGTGGACTCTCATCCAGACATATCTCAGTCATTTCTCAGTAAAATGGTCTTATGCAAATCTTTCCACACAGTGATGTAGACATGTGAGGGTGTGTTTAAACGAGGCGTTTTAGGAGGCCGTGGACGAGTCTTAAGTTTTATAAAGAATATCTCTTTGGATTTGAGACTTTAGTCTTTGCAACTTTAGGGATCTTATCTATGCACGAACAGCTTGTAACACTCCAGAGAGAAAGGAAAACTTGAAATCGCATCATATGACCCCTTTAATGATTCAATAAGAAAAACTGACTCATTTTGCTGCCATTCTGCAAAATGACTAAACATAACAAATCTACACAAACAAATGTTTTTTAAATATATTATAATAACATGTTCCTTGAGTTATTCCTTAATATGTTATTATTTTAGTACCATGGTATACAACAACTGAAAGGTTTGTATACACGTAGCTGAATTTATATATATTTTCCCCCTGATTATTATGATTATGTGAACCCTTTGATCTTGAACTTATAAATCAAACACCAAATATAGTGTTCCCATAGCTCAAACAATAGAGCTTTTGTTTTAGCAAAACCAAGGTCATGGGTTCAGTTTCCAGGGAAACTGAACTGAAAATGGGTCATAGACGAGATGTCCCATTTTGGTGTCCGAATCAAAATAAACATACAAGAGTGATTTTATATACATATAAAACATTAAATGCAAGTGCCTACTTTAACATTTCAAATACCTTTATTGAAAATTAAATGTCAAAATATGGGAGAAATAATGTTCTGTTGTCATCAGTGCAACATATATAGTTACGTCAAAATGAAATTGTAATGTCATATAATGAGTCTTGTTCTACTGTAAATATGCCTGAAAATATATTTTTGGTTTATATATATTAGAGTTTTTGGTATGTAAAATGTTAAACTGAATGGCATTTTAGTGTGTGTCTTCTGTAAATCACAGTAAAAAATATATGAGTCATTATTTTTGCGCAGAAAAAAATGAATAGGACACATTCTAATGTACTGAAAAAAAAAAACTATTCAACTTTTGTTTTGATCCATGATATATAATAGGCCTATAGCAGAAAATGAAGGGGTAAAAGGATCAACAGGTGTCCAGCATGCTTGTAAACCTTCAAAAGTGATTAAAAGCGTCCCAAAATTCATCTCATGAAGTTGGTTGATAGATGTCCTGAAGAAGCTTAAACATAAGAGAGAGATTCATAGGGCCCCCTTCAGGTTTCCTCACTCCTATTTGTGTTATTTCGTAGTTTTTGACTTCCGTGGCAAATCAGAAGATGTGCCACTTGATACTACCATACTCATGGTATAGGCTAGTACGTTATTTTTTAGTAAGGAATAGATCGATTACATGAATTAAATCCCACATACACTTTCTCAATGGTTTATGATTCTAAACATTCTAAAGCGCATCATCGGCTGAATGGGGCGGGATCACGTGGCTTGTGACGTCGGCAGGCCTGCGAGCAGCCGTAACCGGTGAGAAGAAGATGGTGCTCATCAAGGAATAGTAAGTGCAAGTCTTGTTTTTTTCACCTTTCCAGCCAAACATTTTATTTGCTTACGAATTACACTTAGTAAATGTGTATCTGCTGGTTCTTGAGCACTTTTGGAGGGTGAAATGTGGACTCGCTCCCGGGATGTGCTTGATACGCCGGCCCAGCTTTAGCCGCGCTAGCATGTAGCATTAGCATGCTAGGCTAAGCGAAACCACTCGCCATTCATTTTCAACGAGAGGTGCGTTAGCACGCGATGCTATTAGCTGTTAGTTATTAGCCGTCAAGATTAAACGGCACCAAATCTGATAGTTCCCTCAGACTGGAGATAACGAAATAGTCATTGATTTATACCAGTTTATGTTCTCAGAAAGTGTCAGACTTTGACATTATCGGATTTATTATCACAAACATGCCACTCTGTAGTAAAAACTCGCTTTTTATTGATTTGTTTCTTTTGCCGGTTTATGTAAGCGAGGCATTATTAATGACAGCAAAGCCGCTTGACAGTTCAGCAACTTTTGAGTAAAGTCTGTCTGAGTAAAACTTTCCGACGTACTATATCATACTAATTTAGTTGATCATTTAAATAAATACACAGAGACCTAAAGTCCATGTTTTTAAACCTGTTAATGGTAGCAGGTTGGTCTATATAATTAAAGTGTTTAATGATGATTATAAATTACCCTCTGGCTTGACAACACGTTTGGTTCGCCTTGTTAACCACTTAATCTAATTATATTCACTCGTGTGACTTGGTTATTTTTAGGCATTTTCTGTTTTTAGACATTCTTTGATGCATCCGAGTTGGACTTAAACATTAGTTTGACAGGTGACTCCCGTTTATATGGACCTGCAGTCATTCATTTCCAATCTGTTCTTGTTTCCTTCCAGGTTTTATATTTCTGTTCTCTAGGGATCTAGTTATCACATTTTAATTAGGTTCTCATCTGTTGCACAGGACATGGCATGACTGAAAACAGTAGCTGTATAGCCTTTAATCTGAGAGATCGGATCAAGATTGTCACTTTATGAAATCCAGCACCTTTTAACCTTCTCTGAAAGTTTGGACTCGGAGCATGCACCCTTTAGGTTTGCAAGAGAATGCAAATGTGAGCGATCCTAGTCACGTTGAGCAGCAATGCAACAGGTTTGCATGGGTTTTATTCTGGAAAACTCACTGTCAAAGTTTCCAGCGTGTCTCTGCTAGGTTTAAATGGTCAAATGTATTAGAAAAACTCAGTTTGTCGCAAGATCTCCCGAGTCACTCAGCGGATAGGATAGCTTTTTAGCCTCTTGAGGTTTACAGGGGAGTTTCCGTATTGAGAAAATGTTGAGTAATATAGAAACTGATGTCAGTTTTCCTTTAATAAGACCGTTTATATCAGGGCTGTCCAAACTCGGTCCTGGAGGGCCAGTGTCCTGCGGCCCTCCAGGACCGAGTTTGGACAGCCCTGGTTTATATGGATGAAATCTGTAGTGTTTTGCCTGTCTGTCAATTGATCATTTCATTATTTTCAGGATTGGCTCATATAGCAGGGATTGACCTGTAATAGATGAACGGTCGAAGGACGTTATTGAGCAAAGAGCAGAGATTAATTTGTCGTTTCGTCTCATGCGACTTTTACACGTTATTTAATGTTCATGTGTCAAATCAAGCTTCCAAAGAGCTCTCAAGATGAGCAGTGAATGTTGTTTATATACAATAAAAGTTCTGTTTTATTTGTAAAAAAGGTATAATAGCTTACCTTACAGTAGGAATTATCATTACTTGTAGTAATAGAACAATAGATGTTCCAGGATGATTATTTGTGTGTGTTTGGCAGCAGTGTCTTGTGCACATGCTCGTAGAAGAGCTGGTGGCTCACAGGAAACCAGATTTGCTTTTGAACTGGGTCCTGTGCTGATCTCATTTCCCCTTTCTCACCCCTACTTTACTGTCTTTTCTACAATTCTGCTTTCAAAATCCCACAAAATGTAATTTACTGTAATTAAATTGTTTTGTGTGTGCATTGTTTCTGAATATTGGGATCAGCATCAATTATTGAAATTGGTTGTTCACTGCAAGTGATAGACAGATATCTAAATCACCCAGACTGATTATTCACTTGATATTTTACACAATTTGAAATCATCAGCATTTTCTGGGGTTTTATATAATAATATAATATGTCATAAATGGTTATGTTTAAATCTATGTGTTTATTTATATATGTATATTTTATAATATTAATAAGTCTATTTGTTTTATTAATAGATTTAAATGTAAAAATTAGGGCTGCACGATAAATCGCATTCGATATTTAATGCGCATCTTATCAGTAAAGCCGGTTCTGTAATCAGC